ATACACATACAACATATACAAACACACCCCAAACACACACATACACACAAACATACAAAATGCACACACACACATACACACACACACACACCACAGAGCAGAGGACCTTCAGCAGCCAGATATGGATGGGGAGGAGTTCAGGGATCCTCCTCATGGATAAACTATCTGTCACAGTTATTCTGGGAGTTTTCCCCTTCAGTTTTCTGTCCACTAGGACCCACAGGAAGCTGCAGTTAAACAATGACATTATATCATAAAAAGCTATGAATCTCAAGAAAAGACCTGGAGGCAGTTGGATGGAAGGTTCATAGGGAATGGGATGAAATGAAAGGGGAGGGATAGTAAACAGAATCCAATATGTGTGTGTAAAGTTGTTAGAGAATAACCTTAAATTGAGGAAAGGAAGGACAAAGGGTAGAAACACTGATTGAAATCACACATGACCGCAGTAGAGGGCAGCATGTCCACAGTTTCTCCCTTGCTCATTGAGGACACATTTTTACGTTTCAGCGACAAAAGTAAAAGGAGAACCAAAACGGTAAAGAAACTTCTAGAGCCAAAATGGAATCAAACATTTGTCTACTCACACGTACATCGTAGAGATTTTCGAGAGCGAATGTTAGAAATTACCGTGTGGGACCAGCCGAGAGTACAGGACGAAGAGAGTGAATTTCTCGGAGAGGTGATGTATAAAGTGTCAAATGAACATGTCCCACTGTGGCTTTTGCCATACCTGTTAGCCGTGGGTACTTTCCTGTTGTGTTTCATTCGAGAAATACCGTTTCAGATCCTCATAGAGTTGGAAACGGCGCTTTTAGATGATGAACCCCATTGGTATAAACTCCAGACACATGATGAATCTTCACTACCTCTGCCTCAGCCATCACCGTTCATGCCCAGGCGGCATATTCATGCAGAAAGCTCCAGCAAAAAGCTACAAAGTAGGTTCAGTTCAATTGAGTTTAGCAGAGAATAATTATGTTGCCTTGTTCTACCTAAAGATTGCTGCTCAAAACATATCTATTTTTCAGCTGCTTTTATTGTAGAAAAATTGTCTATCTCTGTAAAAGAGACTCGGCCAACCTTTTTTTTTAATATTTCATAGTAAAATAATATATGTGCTATAGAAGAGTAATGGATGAACGCTAATATTCTCTCAGTGACATCCCTTGCCCATTGCTTGAGTGATCGATGGGCTGACTGGTGGAATGATTTCTCTCTTTATTAAAGGGCTGCTATATATGTGGATGCTTTATCATTTTGTTAGGGTATTTTAGTCTTTTGATTGGAAATATATATTTTAAACCAGGATGGTATAAGTTTATTGTTATCTGTGTGGTCATTAGGACATTCCTTTCCTCTGTAATAATTTTTGAGTTATCAGTAAATATGTGATCCAATAGATGAAACTTAGGAGCATTGTTTTGGTAATCTGGATTCAAGTTTTTGGCTTTTCACTGAATATTCTACGTCACTGTTTCCCAGGTTGATAATATCCTCAAAATTAATATTCATAAATATTATGGCTAATAAACATATATTTTAATAATGGGCTTGAATGCTTTTTAAGCATCCTGAGCTTGCCAGATGGCTGCCTGGCGAGGTTGGTCTTTGAACTTATCCTCTTCCATGCAGGATGAATTGTAGGTACTTCACTCTCTGCTTTCAGAGTACCATTTAAAATGAAAAAGCATATAAAATCAAATGAGGAAGGATATAAGTAACATTTTATCCCATCAGTGTCCTTCAGTGTAATTGTGTATGGGAGGAAATTCTGTTAAAAAAAAAAGTATTATTCTTTTGAAACAAACGTGTTTCTAGAAAAACTAGACCCGTGCTTACTATGAATTATTCTTGTTCAACTATGTCCTTTGCATGTTGTAAACTGAGTAGACACACAGAGGTATCTGTTTGCCTTACTGTTGTGCAGGATCTCAGCGAATCAGTGATAGTGACATCTCAGATTATGAGGTTGATGATGGTATTGGCGTAGTGCCTCCAGGTGCGTGGTGAAAGGCATGGCTCCGCCCACTGTCTGGCTCCGCCCACTGTCTCTGCTTGTTTCCGCTGCCCACCTCCAGGCTTCTTCAGGTCACTGAACTGGAGGTCTTTAGTGTAGAAACATCAGCGTTATGTTATTCCATGGTGACTTGTGTCTCAAATTGTTAATGTCTAAAATGGACCGGCATCTCTGAATTCACCCCCCTAGTTACTTGTTACAGTCGGGTTCTCCGTTAGAAGTTTGCCTAAGTTAGATGAAACAAAAACCACTATTTCACAGTGCTCTGAGCATTAGTGAGAATGTGGGATGTCATTTTGAAAGGATGCTGTTAATCTTACTACATCCAATTCCATTCTCTTGTGTTTTATATTGTATCTCTATGATTTTCCTCCTCCACCCCCTATTTCTCAAAATACCATAGCCTTCCATGGAATATACTGAGAAAGGTGCATGGCAGGGCTTAAAATTGCATGCGGCATGGCTGTAGCTTTTAGTGCTTCTGTGACGTGCTCACTAGCTATACCTACTGTGTGTATATGTCTTGAAGTAAAACAATGCTCTCAAAAGAGTCAACATTTCTTTGACGTATATGTCTTGTCTATGTATAAGTTGGCAACATTTTGTGACATTTGAAAGTTTGGATTTACGTTTTTTTTTTTTTCATGAGTTGCCAGAAGAGTGCATAAGATCAAGAAACACTTTTCTCTGTCAGTCCTTTTTGATTCCCCTTGTTTAACTAGTAGAGGAGAAATAAACCTTCAACGGAAAATGAAAATAGGCATTCCAGAATATATAAATGTGACTAATTACAGGCAGTCATTGGAGCAATATTGGCATGTGAGCCCTTCCTTTATGTGATGCCTGCGTTTCAGAGAACGCTCTTATTTTAAGGAGATTGGTTTCATTAAAATGTATAGAATCAGCATTATGAGAGAGTTCAGGCATGTTGGGAGGATGAACTTCATTTAAAATAAGATTAAAAAATACAGAGGATTTTTTAAAATTACATATTTGTTATCTGTCATGCAAAGAAAGTACTTATGTATAAAATGTCCAAATACTATTATCTAACAGTACTGTGGACTAGCTTAGATTATGAGCAGGAATTCTGTATAGTAATGGATAATATTTTCTATTTGCTGTTTTTATTTTTAAGGGATCATACTAGTTACACATATTCTTAACAGACTTTCTCATACACTATACAATTACAAAATTTAATGAAATTGAATTGCTTAAAATGATTATGACTGTAAATCTTTTTTCATATTTAAATCAATTGGGATGAGACTATTGGTGCTAAGAAAGTAATCAAATAATTATTGGGATTGGTCAGCCTTAACATTACTACTATGGGTGTTTCTCATGTTGTATGAAAACTTTTTCTTTTTCTTTTTAAATGAGACATTAGAGGATGAATGAATAGCCAACTAAAAGCATTTATTTAAGTGGTGAGCTTCTCTGTCTCTGAGTAGTCAACATGGCTTATGGACCCACTGCTCATGAGAGTATTGCTTGGGCATCACTTATGAAACTCTGAATTATAAACATAGCTTTATTTTCTACTAATTTAGTCTTTCTAGTGTATGATGAATGAAACATAACATCTTTATTATACAAAAACCAATGCTTACATGTTGTGGTAGTTATTAAATACACCAGTAATGAGGAAGTATGAGACTTGGTTGTTGTAGAACGTTCCTCACTCCTGTGGTTATATTAACCAGTTAGTTTTAACTGCTGAAGAAAAATGAAACCCACAGGCTAATTGCTGTTTTGGAGCATCTCACTAAGTTCAAGAAATAAAAATTAAAATCTCCAATGTATAACTTAACAAATTAAAAAAAAAGTAGATGAAAGTTAAAGAACTGATCCTTTCAACTCATGACTTAAGCCAGATTGCATGCTGTCAATAATGATAAAATCTAGAAAGTCAAAAAATCAAAAATATAAACAGTAACAGATAAATATTAATGTGTATATTTTATATTTATATAATGATTGCAACTATAATATAATTAAAATAAAACTATAAATAGTAATGATATAGTTGATCATTCATATGAATAGATACAGACATATGATTACTTAATATAAAGTCAGATTTTAAAATTTTGACTGTTACAGCATGCACAGCACATAGTAGTAACTCTGATTCACTAAAATTGTGTACATTACCTTTGGTATACTCTCCATATAAGTCACAAGTTGTTTTATGACTCCTAAGAGAAATTTACTAAAAGCACTTAGGCTCTATAAAGCTTTAGGATAGTACTTGTTTTTTTCCTAAAGTCCTTTCTTGAACACAAATATTTAAATATATAATGCAAATCTTTGAGCTACATAATACAAATAACTCAATAAAAGTTACATGTTCTTTTAAAACACAACATCACTATTTGTTTTTGTAATAATTATAAAGACCCAATTTACATACCTTGACCATCACTGAAATTTTGAGATTGTCATACTCTTAATTAAATATTGATGTTCCATAATTTTACATAATTGATGCCATTTAAATTTAAATGATTTAAACATCGGTTTCAGTTATTGATACGATTGTCCCTTTCTTTTTTTTAAGATTTATTTATTCATTTCATGTATATGAGTACACTGTCACTCTCTTCAGACACACCAGAAGAGGGCATCCGATCCCATTACAGATGGTTGTGAGCCACCATGTGGTTGCTGGGATTTGAACTCAGGACCTCTGAAAGAGCAGTCAGTGCTCTTACCCACTGAGCCATCTCTCCAGTCCCATGTTTGTCCCTTTTTAAAATATGAAGTCAATTCATTACTTGCTAATTCATTAGTAAGTTTTTTGTTGAAAAAAAGACCTTTTCCACAACACACTCAGAATAAGTGTAATCACTATTGTTTGATAAAAGACTATAAATGAAAATATATATTTTTAAGTTATACCATTAAGGTTATATTGTCATCTTAGGGTCATTTCAGGCTGTTAAAGGAAGTGAGCTCTTTTCATCTGAATATTGTCCAGTTCCTCTTTCTTAAAGATATCCTCTATGCCTTAAATTTGCTGACAGATGGTACAGTCATGCCAACCAAGCTGGTGGCTAATTATCAACTTGCTTTTGCAAGTGGTGTTTGATGGCGTAGTTTTAAAGTCAGTAAGAAATAAAAAAAAAGAAATATAAGCAAAACAAAACATGGTTTCAGCTTTCCAGCTGAGAAATGTCTCCATGATTCATGTAATTTTTAGGCAGTTGTAAATGGAAGTTCCATTTCCTTAACCACACAATGTTGTCTTCTTTTCTTGCACTGATGAAAATTAATGAGCATCATAAAGGCATAAATACCCCACTTTAAAACTGTGAGCACTTATTATGGATTTTAGATGACTTTTTTTAATCTAAATATAAGCAGAAAGGACACCCACACACCCACATTTTTATTCCAAACCTGTTACAACTGGTGACTCTGTGCAGTTGTGTTAACCATTTCCCTTTAATAATGTCTCCTGAAGCCACTGGAGGGATAGTTTTAGATGTTCTGTATAGATTTGATGACTTCACAGTGTTAATTCTCCTGTTTCATTATCACCATGACTTCCACTCACACACTACTTATCACTGAAATTTGTATTTATTGCTTGCAAAAGTCACAATCCATATTTGCTATAGTGAAGTTAGCTACTATTCTTTGTTCATTTAAACGCATGTGGGATGTTTTCATTTTCAATTAAAATGGCCAGAATACTTAGTAAGGAGTACATTGGTACAACAATTAAATGATTTCTCCTGGAGAAGAAAAATTCGGGAACTGAGTGATGACTAAGTCAGTAAAGTGTGCAGCATAATCCGAGGCAGTTATGGAGGCATGTGCTTGTGAACCTAATGCTGTAGAAGTAAAGACAGGAGGATCCGTGGAATTCACTGGCCAGGTAGCTAAACAGAATAGATGATCTCCAGAATCCATGAAAGACCTTTTCTCCAAAATGTGGAACATGATTAAAGGAAGAGCCTTAATGATGACCTCTGGCCTCTACATACACACACATAATCATGCGTAGAGAAGCTGCATAAACGCATGCGCACGCACATGCGCACACGAACGCGCATGCGTGCATGTAAACAGCACACAAAAGAGACAATGGTTCAAACTAATTGAATTAAAAGAGACATCAGATTTCAAATCATTGACTTGTGTATTAACTCTAATTCTCTCGCTGCTTTGTTGATGTTGCTGAGAAGCCACTAACTCATCCATTGTTGATATTAAAATTGTGCCCCAACTCATCCCAATGTCTGAGGCATAGACCGTTCTGTCAGTGTTTACTATCTCCATGGTAGCTTTGAGTCTAACTGTAACGTGTTTTGATGCATGTTTTACCTTACACTTTCTGTCTATATACGTAAAGCTTCGGGTGATAAAGCTATACAGATTGCATGGCACCTAACATTAGCAGGTCGATGGCTGCTTTGATATAATTTCATCATTTCTGTGTTCCGTTCCTGTCGTAAAAAGCACTAACAAGTTTTATCTGTATGCTCTTGTCAGTGGGTTATAGAGCTAGTGCTAGAGAGAGTAAAGCAACCACGTTAACAGTGCCAGAGCAGCAAAGAACTACGCATCACCGCTCACGTTCCGTGTCTCCTCATCGTGGCGATGATCAGGGAAGGCCTCGCTCACGTTTACCAAATGTGCCATTACAGAGGTAGGTCTGGATCAGGCTTAGTGCTCGTGAGAGAACTTGTTTTTTTTTTCTTAAATCATCGTGCATTTTATTATAAATCAGCAGCTGCATTGAAATGATGGTTAGAAGCCGTTTGTCATTAGTTACCAGAGCCCTTACTTTCCCAACAGGCATTCCAAAAGCTCGGCCTGAGGAGGAGGGGCTGGAGGGGTTGAATGGGGGCTGGGGAAGCAAAAATTAAACAATAACAGTTTCCTGAAATGAGAATATATTTTAAAGAAATTTAATATTATCTCTTTGAAGCAGTTTAAGTGCTGAAAGATACCCCTTCTCCCCCTCTCTGTGTCCTCTCTCTGTTCTCTCTCTCTCTCTTTCTCTCTCTCTCTTTCTCTCTCTCTCTCTCTCTGTGTGTGTGTGTGTGTGTGTGTGTGTGTGTGTGTGTGTGCTATTTCATCTGAATTTGAACATACTTTTGGAGCTGTAATTGTGCTGATGAAAATCATAGTTCTTCTTTACATAGATACAAAACAGTGTTGTAAAGATGAAACAGACAAAAATGAGAATATGATCTCTTATTTCATTGGACTGGGTGTGATATCACCACCTTTAACCCAGGGCACATGGTAGCCAGTTATAGTCTGTCCATTTCCTCTTACTTTGTTGATTGTTTGAGGAGAACCACAGGCTTTGTCAAATGAAGTTTTGTGACCCATTTTAGGAGCTTAGATGAAATTCATCCAACACGAAGGTCACGTTCTCCAACCCGACACCATGATGCCTCCCGAAGCCCGGCCGATCACAGATCCAGACATGTGGAAAGTCAGTATTCATCAGAGCCAGACAGGTACTTTGCCCAAGTAGAATTTCACTATGACAGTCCTCCTGTGTTGTGTTTTAATATATACAAATGTTGCAATACAATATATAAATGAGTTAAACTACACCATCATTCAAAACAACTTCTCTCCCACGGCTTCCATTTCTCACACATTTGCAACTCTCGTAGATACTCAGTCAAGGTTTTAGCAATATTTGCAGTTTTAAGTCACTTATAAATAAGGCTACTTATTTATAAAGTTTCATTGACTTAGATTTTGAAATAAGAAAGGCTACGTGAGCAATTTTTAAATATTTTCCTCCATAGGTCACGTGTTTGGAAGGTTGTTCTTGTAATTAAAAAATACATTGTAGATATAATTAAAATGCTTTTGGTAATGGTCATCTGAAAGGTTGTTTCTACTGCAGACTCTGTGAAAACTTCAATGATGTTTTTGTTCTATACCACTTTTTATCTAGTGTCTTCTCATGGATGTCTGTGAAATGCAAAATATATTGATAGATCATTTTATGGATGTGTCAATTATTAGATATGTTTACTGATGAACAGATATTTCATGGAAGTCGTTAATAGGAATCTATATAATAAACACCTTTTTCCTCAGGACCACAGACATTCTTGTCAGAGATTCCACAGGGGTGTATTGGATCAGCCTAAACATAGTGCAGGGACTGAGTTAAAGTTGATTGGAATGTTCTCTTCTGGCCTTTGGAAGTGGGGGGTAAGTTCATGGAGGCATAGAGAAAGGAAGGTCGTGTTGAATGGCGGATGTAATGGACTCAAGGACACAGAGTCCAACCTGAGCATCTTCTGTTTCTATGTAAAGTGCTGCCATTGCCTTCGAGTGTGAATCCCATTAGGTACTGGGGACAGACTTGGTCAAAGAAATAGTATTCCATACTGCCCAGCTGAATGAGTGAATGAGCCCTGCATCGCCAAAGTTCATCTGAGCCCCAGTGAATATAGGGAAGTGACAGTAAGCAAAGGGCTACAGTGGCCAAGGTGATCAATCTAATTAAAATAATTCAGCCATAGAATAATATTTATTTTCAAATAAAAATCCTAGTTAGGAAAAACCCAATATGACATTCTCAGTGGCTGCTAATGACAATGAAATGATCATGTCATTAAGTTTCTAAAAACGAAATAAAACCATTTTGCTTCCATTTTAATATCTGAAACGTCAAACTATTACATTTTAATTATTGAAATGACTGTCCTTGGAAATATATTTCTATACCTTTTGGGGGGTGAAAAGTTGTGTTTCGTTCCTTTTTGTATTTAATAAAATTGTTTTGCACCACTAAGTAGTAAGTTGGCCACAGTTAGGACTTCGACCATAATGTTTGTACTTTATCGTTTGAATTTTTAAATGCTGTCACGTTTCTTTTTGTTCAACCCCTCAAGCAAACATGCTAGTGCAGACAATCTGGTTTCTTCCCTTTTCATGTTCTCATTGGCACACCATTGGCACAAACCATGTCATCTAATGCCTTCTCATGACCTATCCGTTTCACTCACCACCCATCCTGTCTGTGCAGTGAGCTTCTCATGCTGCCCAGAGCAAAACGAGGACGAAGTGCAGAATGCCTACACATGACCAGGTAAATACAAGGATTTGGTTCTGGTGACTGTGTGTAATGACTCACTTTCCATTCCCCTACTCTTCCGTCTCTCCTTTGGTAGTACTATTGCTACACATAGAACTCCTCAACCATTTAAAAAAAAGTTACATTATTGCATGTGGAGGTGATGCAAGGTTTTTGGAAACATTGTAATGTTTCCAATATAAAGCAGACTACTTTGACATCAGTATATTCAAAAACTCCAAACCCTGGGTGAGTCTCATTCTAAATGTTCTCAAGCCTATCAACCCAAAGAACTAGTGTATACAGTTCAGATTGCAAATGCCCCATTGGGAGCTCACCCTACCCACAGGTGGACTCGAGGACCTGTCTAGTCACAAAGTTTCTGATCTTCTGTGCATGGCAGGTTTACTGTTTGTCATGATTGTGGTCATGTTGCTTTAGCCTTTTAAATATTTCCTTTTGCAACGTGCTATCATTATGTTCTGTCTGTTTTTATTAAAATGTTTTCTGTTCATGTTTTCATGGTTTAACTTCAGGTTCTTTAAACACCTTGATTCTAGCAGTTCAGATATGTGGCAAAACAAACTTTCCCATGAAGACATACAGCAGTATAATACCACTTAGAGTTGGGAGAATGAGGACATGTCTTAAAGCATGAGGCTATATGTTAAACTTGTATCTTGGATTTCAAATCTGATGAAAATCACGTTTTAGTGGTTAGTTGTATATAGATTGTAGCAAGCTAATCATTACTGTCATTTAAAGTCAACATTATGTCAAGAAGTTGTAAGTGAGTTGAAGGAGCAAAGACCCTTGCAAGTATAATATGATAATGTTAAAAAGCTAAAGGAAAGAAACTCAAATGTCACCCCTGAAATGTAGAATAAGCTCAGAATTCATTGTGTCCCTGTGGGACATGTGGTTCCTATCAAATATGTGATCACAACAGGGCTAGCAAAATTGACTTAAAATTTAGACGTCTAAAATTATCCAGCTACTAGTTATTATTGAGCTCATTTTATAGGGCCACATTAAAAAAAATGAGGAGCCGGGCGGTGGTGGCGCACGCCTTTAATCCCAGCACTTGGGAGGCAGAGGCAGGCGGATATCTGAGTTCGAGGCTAGCCTGGTCTACCGAGTGAGTTCCAGGACAGCCAGGGCTACACAGAGAAACCCTGTCTCGAAAAACCAAAAAAAAGAAAAAAAACAAAAAAAAAATGAGGACATGTTAGTTCTACCTATCTATTGATGAAAAAATAAAAAGTTATAAATATTTTAAAATTACCTTATTTTATTATGCTAAACTATCCATGCCACTTAGCTGCTCATCAAAGCAGATGTTTCTAAGTAACAGTGATTTCTTTACAAGTTCTGTAAGTTTTCTCCTATTTTTGTCTCTGTGACTGCCACTACAAAGAAAACGTATGCATACATGGCTTTTCTATTTATAGATGTATCTAATGTGTGCCTGAGATGCATACCAGTAGTCTAAATGAAAGAAGCATCTCTTCTCTTCTTTATTTTGTATCAGGGGTTGCAAAAAATATGATATATTTCTAGCTATATTATTTTATATAAGTTCTTCTGTAGAACAGTTTCACTAATAATCCAAACTTCATATATCTTATTGTTTAGTAGATAGAATCAACATACTGATTTTGCATATCTTCGGGTCATTAGTCAACTTCAAAAATATTATATGAAAATTGATAAATGTAAATCTGATGCTGATTAAGTCCATTGACAACCTTCACAGATGTAGGAACTTCAGAATTCCCAGACAAATGCACAGACGCACAGCCAGTGTTATGGCTGACTTCTCTGCCAACTTATTATTATTTTTATAATGGTAGTGTTGGTCCTAGTAAAACTGCTAACTGTGGCTTTTAAAGTTACGACTTCATTGTTATATTTATTTTTTATTCCAGAATTTTCAAAACTTTTACTTTCCTCTACCCCTTAATACTCACCACTAAATATCTAAGAGCAGAAAAAGCATGAGTTCAAATATATGTATATTTAATATCTTCTGTATTCATACTCATATATTTATAAAAGCTTTTAATCTATATGTGGGTAAAGATATGCACACATGTAATCTCCTATTTATATGGATATATAATATAGTTTGATTTCATATAAATTTTGGAAATGTATTAGCAATATATATTTTATGGCCAAATTCTTAAGTGGTTCTTTAAAAATAAAATATACCACATTGACTGTAGTCTTATTTCACAGATTTAACAGTTGATTATCTGAACTATTACACTAATAGCAATTTGCAACTTAAATAGAAATCTAATACTGCAAATTAAAACCCTTGCCATGTATATTTTAAATTAATGTAATTAAAAAAAAACTATCTCATATTGATCATTTCCCGGCAAATTATTTATCATGAATTTCATCCTTCATGGAAAATTTCTCAGGTGGTGTAGTAGGAACGAAATGCTGTCCCTGCCTCAGTGTGACCTGGATGCTTGATAAACATTATCCATTTACACCTCATAGCACCCTGTCAAATTGATGCTATTTCTCCCATACTGTCGATACAAAAAATAGGCTTAGAGTTTTGACATGAACCTTCAAATTTCAATCAGTATCTTGCAGAGCCAAGATGTTAGCACAGTAGATTTTCTACTGTTTTCCATTTGGTTTCTGATTTTGTGTAGATCCCTATTAGAACATTCCTGGAAAAACAAAACAAAACAACTCTTGAAGCAATTCCTTTGAAAATTTTTATAGAAACCTGACATTAAAGGTCTTTGCCCATGCTGGGAGACAAAAAGAGAAGAGAATTTTATGAAGGTCGAATACTCTATTTCTCTGTTGTTTTTCTTTATCTGTGACTGGAAAATATAAACCCTTCTTAAATCGAGGATTCAAAGGATTCTCTCTCATGTGAGCATTAGTATAAACCTGATTATGCCTGGAGATTGTTAAATACTTAATGCCTTGGGAATGTTCATCTTTCTTTGATCTTCATGTTTTATGCTATGAAATAGATGATACATTTTAGTAACTAGTCATTAAAGGTATAGAACACTATTAGATTATATAAAAAACTAGATTAATTAACTAGATTTATCCTGCCTTTTATAGGAAGTTCCAGCTATGTGTTATATCTTATACAAACTCAGAAAATTTGGGTCTTATTTCTGCCATTAAATTCTAATCATTTCCCTCCTTCAAGGTTTCTTTTTGTCTTGTTTTTAACTGCAAAATTATGTGAATTAGTGGATTTTCAGTTTTAAATCTGAGTTTATTTCTGTCCCCTAGAGGAAGTATAATCAGGGGTTAGTATTAGTGTTAGCTTTGCTCTAACCATTGGTTTATACTTCCTCAAACCTATCAGATGTTTCCCCAGATAAGATGATTAAATTTTAATTTTGAGTAACATGGAATAACCTGACCATATATTATTAACTCTTATCCTGCATGGAAATAATAACCGTGACTCCTCTGAAAACACTAGTAAGAATCCTTTTACTTTGCTTCGGATAGGCCTCCCTTTTTTTTTTTAATGTTTTAGTAAAGTTGATTTCATATCTGTTTTTCTGTTTTCCTGCTTGTTTGGGTTGCTGTTTCCAGAGATCTTGTTAGATACTCTAAAACATTACCACCCAAGATGCCTTTATTACAGAACAACTATCATTGGAGCAGCAGGTAAGAGCCATAGCAGTAAGCTCTGCTTGGACTCAGCCCCAACCCCAGCCACTAAAATAGAAAAGTTACATTCTTCTGTGTCCTTTACCTTAACACTTTGAATTAACGCCCAGTAATCTGTGCCTCATTAAAGCGATCTAAAACTGATTTGATTACAAACGTACATTCTGGACTAATTGTCTCGATGACATAGGATTCAGAAGTTAGAGTTCTGTTCATTTAGTATTTCCTTGTTTTACACGTCGATCGTCATTACGGTGATTAATTTCATTTCGTTTTACTTGTGTGACTTTATTTTGTGAAGCACAGTCCTGCCTGCACACGCTAAGACCAGATCAGTGACTACACAGGACATTCCCCTTCAACATGCTTGTTAAAAGTCAAGAATGCTGAGAATTTCGGATGAGTTATCCCTTAGGCCAGAGCATCAGGAAGTGGTACCGCCCACTTTCCCTGTCCAGTGTTGTGAATCAGAAGAGTGGAGCTGTACAGTTCTTTCTCCTATGATGTCCTTCATTTTGTTTTGGTGTGGCATCTGTCCTTGGTAATGAAGTTTTAGGCATTTTGTTTTTAATGCTTCCTGTATCCAGTTTCCTTTGTTTTGTTTTGTTTTCATAAGTAGGTGTGACTTAGTGTCATATTTTAGACTGAGATTCTTTCCTTTAAAAAAAAATTATGCAACGCAATTTAAGCATAATATTTGTTTAGTCTCTAAACAAAAGTTTACACCGTCATCCTGTGGCTCTCTCACACCCTTATGAACTGAATCACGGTGATTCGACATTTTGTGTAACGAGAACATTATTTTATGCTTTCCTCTCTAACGTGGTCTTTCTTTCTTTCCTTTGTCTTTCTCTTCTACCACTGGATGTAATGCACTAGTGAACTGCAGCCCTCTCTTGACAGGGCTAGGAGTGCTAGTACCAACTGCTTGAGACCAGATACTAGTTTGCATTCACCAGAACGAGAAAGGTATAAAATAAAGACTTTCTGAATTTCTTATCATTTGTACGGTGATCTTTTCTTTCTTTCTTTTTTTTCTCTCAATTACTTTGTTTTTGTTTCATGTGGGTCTCGCAGGCTTATCCACTCACGCCCGCCTTCTTGCTGTCCGCATTTCCTTCCCGCAGTACACATCTGTGTAGGGATATGTGTATGTGCCTAAGTGTGAAGCACACATACGCATATTTCTATGAATGTTGTTGCAAATGGCGTGATGTAACTTGTAACTGCTCCCGGCTGCTGCTTGTTTTTCTGTTGCTGTTCAGTTGTCTTGATTCTGTGACTCAAGGAGCCTTCAGTATGCTGATAAGACCACGGGTTAGTGAGTTATTTGAAGGGTGGAGATCGGTTCCCTATTAGTTGTAGAGATAAATAAGGTTTATGGATCTTACAATAATCTTCCGTAAACTCAAAATAGAAATTCTATTGAAATAAACCATTTACCTTTTCACTTTTTAATTAACCTACTCTTTATATAAATTATGTTAAATTATATTTTGTAAAAAAAAAAATCAAAAAATTTCCTGAGACTTTCCAAATAAATAAATACCTAGAACATGTATATACATAGATTATTTTTGTTAAAGCTGCATATAATTAATTATTAAGTACTAATTCCAATCTAGATACAGTCAATAATAATGCATCATATTTTCTTCTAATTGTAAGGAAATGAAATGATTATTTCCTTATTATAGAACTTTCTATTCTTGTAAACTTATTTGTAACTGATATTCTTGGTTTTAATTACCGTCTTTCTTAAGTTAGATGTCATTCAAAGGAAATTTTTAAACTACTTCTGCAAACCCTAAAGAAAAATATCTGGCTGTACTAATGTCACCCTCTTCAGAAAGTGTTTAAGCTTCCTTCCTAGTAATCTTTGTAGCCTATAGGGTGTTTATTTCTTGGAATTAAACAGTAGATCTTCAGAAGATTATTCTACAAACGTTTTTTTGAATTATAAATTGAAGTAAAATTTACAATTGGCAAAATGAAATTAATTTATATCATATGACTTGCAAGTGTCATATTTAGTGCTTTAGTGAAAATGACTGTACACTATTCTGAAACCGGGGCTGAAATGATCTTACTATTTCACTTTGTCAGATATCATCCTATCCCACAAATAATTAGAAAGATCAATAATCTTTAACATTTTTCATATCAGTATATTTTGTGATATATTAAAACAGAGGTTGAATTATCGGGGCTGAAATGCTCTGACTGTGACAGTATCCTGAATTTTTAAAATATTTAGATGAGTACGCCCTGATTTAAAAAATATACAGTTAAAGCCATGTGTGTGCTTTTAAATTTCTCAGAAACCATGATAGAAAGTCAAGACAAACTTCAACCTATCATTAGGTATCATCATGACATGCCAGTAATTGTTGCGAGCAAAATGACGTGTATTCCTCTTTGCATGGCAAGCCATGAATATTTTATTTATAACACACCATGATTGGAATTTTCACATTCTTCTGGCTGATTTATTGAACAGCACAAGTCTCATGTATGTGGCCTTGAAACACTGAAGCCACAACATTCACAGGTTTGTGTATCCATTGTTTTAAATCTCTCAAAAAATACCAGTAAAGTAGGTCAATCTATACACAAGAAGGCTAATCATATATACAACCTATATGCAAGCAGGCTAATAATGTATTAAACCTATATACAAGAAGGCTCATCATATATGCAATTTATATTCAGGGAGGCTAATCATACAGAACAAAAAGTGAGAAAGTGAATGGAAAACCTATAATTCTATATGTTAAATAGAAAGAAATGGTTCATTAAAACATGGGAAGAGGTTAGTATCATCAGTGATTCTCATCCTAGTGAGGTCATTTGGGTCCTAACAGTTGCAGCAGTTTATAAAGTGGTATCTGTTCTCTATGTAGGATCCAAAAGGCTTACTACAGTAATTTCCAACACACACACACACACACACACACACACACAGAGAGAGAGAGAGAGAGAGAGAGAGAGAGAGAGAGAGAGAAATGAAAAATTGCCAAATATTCCTAAAATTCAATTTCATTTTCTTAAGATAGTGCTATTACCACAGCCTTCCCAAATGCTGTTTTACAGTCCAAGAGTTAATTGATTCTGAGTCATTTTGCTCTGCCTTGTGGTTCGTTATGCCAACCATTTCCTTATGCACCCTCCCTAATTTTAAAACAAGTTACAATTGACGTTTACACGGGATACAGTTGTCAGAACGGAACCAATTATCTTACGGCCAACTTCATCAGTCTTTTGAGTGATAAGTAGTGTTCTCTCTTTCTTAGACATTTCGGCCATGGCTTGCGAGCATTTTGGTCCCCTGAGTCCTGTATATAGGAATGCTGTTTGTAAAGGGAGTTCTATGAGGTTAGATGCTTCTTTATTTCATGTAGTCTTGATTCCAGAAATAAAGATTAAAAAAATATATTGCAAGATGGCCACGGTTAAAGAATTTTCCCTACTAACTCCTACTAATACAATTTGTGGTTTGCTTATAAGAGGTAATTCTTTTTGTCAGATAAAGAAAGGCCAGTTGTCTTGCTTCCCTGATTGGGAGGCAGTTACTCTGATGGCTCTTAACTTTTTCTTTGCCAGATGTAGAAATAAAACAGGGTCTTAAATACTCAGAGACAAGTATGCTCAGGGAGATGGGAGGGTATGTAGGCTCATAAAGGTGTTCTCTACTTCCTGCTTGCATTTTTTAAGCATACCCCTAACCCCAATGTAGTTGCTGTGCCAGAGGTTCCTTCATGGGCTATGTTGGCTCTTTTGCTGTTAAACCTTATTTCAGCGCCTGCTCTCCGGTCACTTGAATCTCTGCCCTATAAAGAGCTTCTCTTAAATGACTGTTAGACACAGCCTCTTCTGAAGGCTTCTTTGCCTTTCTTATTCATTAACAAAAAATCTCCACCATGCTCCTTCCTTTTTTTTTTCTACTCACGTTGTCCTTTAAATTTTGTTCAAGTGCTCTGCTGCCTGTGAAGACACACTTCCCTATGGGTTAGCCAGGGCAGATTGTCTTTCTCCAGAACTGAACCCAAATTTCTGAATGATGTCTAGACACTCAAGACATTTAAAATGTCCCACTAACCTGCATTATTTCGTCCTTGAGTCCAGGACACTACCTAGTGTTCCTCTTCTTAAATGTTGTTCATATTTGATGATTATGATAACAGCTAGGTAGGCGAAATGGTCCAGGCCTGTCAAACAAGATCTTTATGGGCCAGAGCTGATGTGTGATGAGTTTGAAGCCGGCCTAGACTACACAGCTGGTTTAAGACCCGTTTGAGATAGAAAAGGGGGCTGTCTCTCAAAACTGGGGCTGTCTTCCCATCCCCGTTATTGCCCTAATAGGTTTAGTAGTAACCTGCACTATGTTTTATCTTGAAAAACTTCCATTAAGTTTCAGATAAACTTTTGACTTTGTTGTCAATTTAAGAATTATTTCATTTTTTTAAGTTTTGGTCACATTTATCTAAGACTTCTTCAATAAGAACCCACTACTAATTCATAGCTGTTGATCCTATTCTGGACCCACCTATGTTTATGAACTTTTCTTGAAAATCTTAACTGTGACTGTATGTGGTTGTTCTCGACCTTAATCACAACACTTGGGAGGCAGAGGCAAGCAGATCTCTGTGAATTTGAGGTCAACCAAGTCTGCATAGGAAGGTCTAGGCTAGCCAGAGCTACATAGTAGGACCCTTTCTCAAAAGGAACAAAGGAAAGAAAGGCACGAGGAAGTAAGCAAGAAAAGGAGAAATAAACAAACCCCAACTAAAAAGCAAAACTTACCACAACCAAGTCTAAACCTGTATGTCATGTTTTAATTGAGCCACTACTATCTATATCTAGAACTGCTTGCATCCATGGTGTTATAAACCTTTGGGATCAGAGATCACATGATTTTTTTTCTTGCTCCAGATAGCATTATTCTCTTTGATTCATGTTTAACTTGAGGTAACATTCTTAACACTCTCTATTTTTGCATCAGCAAATGTGGTCCCAATGGTGAGTTAAATACAAGGAGGGAGAAACATGGGTGGTACACACTATTGCCAAGAAAGCAATGAGTAAGTTTACAGTTTGTAGCCATGGGCTTTAGTTTGCTAGCAGAGAAGCTCGAGATTCACCAACTCCCAGAAGCACAGGATGCTCCCATTACAAGATGAGGTCCTTACCTGGTGGCAAATGTTAAAGTTTGTCTCCGGGCTTGTTTGCTTTTTAAAGCCAGCCTGGTTTAGGAAAGAATTCAGAAATGTCAAAGTCCTTTATGGCTTATCCTTTAACTTGGAAGGGAGGGGGCTCTGGAATGACTCCCAAGGAGAAGAATGTTTCTATTAAAAAGTCAAGCACTATAAATTGACATGAACTAAATTATCATAAAATTGATTTTGTAGTGAAATGTATGTAGTAAATTTTTAAACAAAAAAATGGACCTTAATGTATGTAAATCAAGATTCTGATAATTTGGGAAGGTTTTATATACTTGAATAATCAGATAATTCATTTGGCTGTGGTTTCTATTTTAATATCTCAGAGATGGTTTTGATACATCATTTATGGTATGAATGATTTACATCTCTATATCATTTTTCTTATTGATTACTAAGGTATTTTTTATGTTCTGCTTAAAGATATGCACCAGTGGAAGTGACGTATACGTAGAAGTATGTGTGCTAATTACACACTTTTGTTCTTTATATTACTGCTAAAGAAAAAAACATACCTTAACAGTAATTTAATTCTTGTAGGGTCTAATTATTTTATATATATTATTTAGGAATTCCCTTATGCAGTCATGACCCCATATATATACATAAGGTGCTCGTTGTTTGTAACCTGGCCATGAAGCCGAGAACCTTTTGTGCTTACTGACTCCTAGATCAATAATTAATAGGAGAAGGGACCATACCTGGAAATCGAGTACACTTGACAGCAAATTCCAAAATCTAATACTA